CATAAAAAAATTTAACATGGCAGTTTTAACATTTTGGTACCAGGGATCGAACTCAGGACCTTGCACTTGCGCGGCAGGCAGCAGCACAACTGAGCTAAATCCCTGGCCCCGTAGCAAAGTGAATTTTAATAAAACATTATCTCTGATAGAAATACCATCATTAACAAAGAAATCGTTTGCCTTCTTTTATTTTATTTCTTTGGGGGAGGTTGTTGGTTTTGTTTGGTTTGTGTGTGTGTGGTACTGGGGGTTGAATCTAAGGCCTTCACGCTGAGCTACATTCCCAGCTCCCCCTCTCCTTTTCTTCCTTTTTTTCAATTTTGAGACAAGGAACTTGTGATCCTCCTGCCTCAGCCTTCCAGGGTGCTGTGATTAGAGACATGAACCACCATACCCAGTTCTGTGTTTTAACTTTTTGAGAAACTACCAAATTGTTTTCCGCAACAACTATTTTATATTCCCACCAACAATGGTCAAGGATTCTAATTTCTCCACATTCTTGCCAACCTTTGTGATTTTCTGTTTTGATATTAGCCTTCCTAATGGGTGCCAGATGACTTATCTGTGGTTTTTATTTCACTTTTCCTGATGAGTAATGATGGTTTAACATTTGTATGTGTTGCCAGGCAAGGAGGCGGGGCGAATGCCTGCAATCCCAGCACTCAGGAGGCTGAGGCAGGAAGATCACTGTGAGTTCAAGGCCAGCTTGAGCTTACATACATGGGGAAACCCTGTCTCCAAAAAAAAAAAACTTTTCATGTGTTTATTGGCCACCTACTATATGTCTTTGGAGAGAAGTATCTTCTTAAATGCTTTACCCATTTTGAATTGATTTCTTTGGAGCTTTTGTTGTTGTTGTTGTCATTGTAAGCATAATAAATCCTGAATGTTAATTTCTTCTCAGATATATGATTTGGAAGTATTTTCTCCCAGTCTGAATTGTCTTCTTGATCTTTTGATATTGTCCTTTTATATACAAATGTTTTGATTTTCATGAAGTCCTCTTTTTTGTTGTTGCCTGTATATAACAATTTCTTATGTTAGCAATTTGCAAATGAAGTTGTCATTAATATAACAGTATTTCCTGGGATGGTAGATTATGCCATAAATTCAGACTTAGCTCTTTTTAAGCGTTTTTGGGATTGAGTTCCTTCATTTGTCAGCACATATAGTGCAAAGCACCTCACAGGTTATTGAGCTTTAAGAGAAAGCATGCTTATGGCTCTGTAGGGAAGAGGTGCCGCTGTTTCATCAAGTGTTCATTAGAACAGCAGCACATTGTCATAAAATAGTATTACTTATCTCAAATTTTCAAGGCTTATAGATTAGATTTACTTGTATAATAAAAGGTTGGTTACATTGTTCATGCTTAGTTGTAGCATGCATTTATAAAAAAGACTGCTTGATATAAATGAACTTTTACAATTTAATGGTTTTTTTAATGCAATTAATTTGTTTTTTCCTCAAGGCCTACATGAATCCAATAGCAATGGCCAGATCAAGGGGTCCAATCCAGTCTTCAGGGCCAACAATCCAGGATTATCTGAATCGACCCAGGCCTACCTGGTATTTGTGAAACAATTTGCCTATTTATAAGCTTTTTATAAACTTTTAAAACTTTTATTCTTACAATTTTTGTTAATTGCCAACTAATTGCCAGTTAAGTGATGTTTTAAAATAATACTTGACTTTAGCATGTGCTTTCTTTTGAATGTATGAAACACATGCACAACTATAAGACATTTGAGCACCCACCACCCAATAAATCTAAGACACTGCCCAGTAACCTTTTTATGGCAGTCTTCTCTATCCCCTAAAAAACTTTACTTAACCTTGCAGGGTTCTGAGCTATTTAAAATAATGAATTTGAGCCAGGCATCCTGGCACATACCTGTAATCTCAGCACTTTAGGAGGATCAGGCAGGAGGATTGCACTTTCGATCCCGGCCTGGGCTACTCAGTGATTTGGCGAGACCTTGCCTCAAAATTAAAAAAAAAAAAGGCTGGAGATTTAGCTTAACCCAGCTACCAGAGACATAGCTCTGGGTTTGATCCCCAGTTTGAATAATTGTACCCTTCATTGATACTTAACCAGATGTTGGAAAGGATGTTTATTTCTAGTTTTATCTGCTGGCTTATCGATAAGTTGGAAAACTCTTCGAATACCTCTGATCTTTTGTAAATAAAGCATCATAGTATAGGCCTTATTATTTTTAGTATATTATTTGTTTTATTAATACTATACATTCTCATATATGACAAGCTTCAAAGTTGTTAGGTTCATAATCCTTCTAAGTTGACCTGGATGCTGGTTAGCAGTGATGAAAAGGTGTGCTTATGCCAGGTGTGGTGGTATACACCTGTAATCCCCACATTCAGGAGGCTGAGGCAGAAGGATTGCCATGAGTTCAAGGCCAGCCTGGATTACATAGCAAGACCCTGACTCAGAAGAGCTGGAAAAAAAAAGAAAAGAAAAAGAAAGGTGTGCTTATTTATAATAGGGACTCCTTTTGGGTTAAATGGGAACTAAGCCTTGTCTACCTCTTAAGTATATGAGTGCTATTGTTAACCATTGCAGGGTACCAGAAAATAAATGACCCCAGAACAAACCATATTTTACCTTTAAAATGAGGAGAGGTATGAACTTGAAAGAGGGTTTGCTCAAACAGGCATATTACGTGTGCACCACAGTTAAGACAGCTCTCAGGTTGGTACATTACAGGACTCAAGAGAGTGTCAGCCAATAGTCACACTTGAAAGATTGATTACAGTGAAAGAATACCAGGCACAGCCAGCAGTGGAAAAAGGTGCATGTAATGAAGGCCAGTCACTGGGGTTGGTCAGACTGCCTGTCACATTCCAGAATACCAGATTCCAAGAAGGACAGCAGCCACTCAGCCTGGTACTAGTGTCTGCTACTCAGACACTACATTGTCTATACAGACAGTTTAGGGAGTAAGCAACTTTTAATCAGTGAATGGTAAAAACCCCCTAAAATCCAAATTGCCAGATTCTCGCCTTGGGCAAGTCTTGTAAGCAGGCCTTCTCAGAATAAGCAGCCAGGGTGCTGTGTTCTTCTTTGCAGACGGGTCAGGTATGTTATAAAATGGGAGATTTAGTAATAGAATCCAGCAGTTTAGTCAAATAGCTCATCCTAATACTGAAACTCTCAGCTTTATGACCTTAGATTTCTTAGCCTCTCTAAGCTTCAGTTTATTTGAAAAAGTGGGAGTAAATACTGACTTTTCTTACACGGTTATTGTATGTAAGTGTATGTTTGATATGTTAACTCTTATAATTGATGTTTAAAAGAGGAGTGATTATGTTATCTGATAGACTTTATTATTATTTGCATAGATGTGAATGAAGAAATTTGAAATATATTAATATTGGAATGGAGGTCTATTAGTAAAAATTTAGTTATGAAATTTTTGTCATCTTGTTTATAAGCATCAATCAGATTTGAAGTACTTGAAAAATTATTTGTACATTCTATTTTTTAAGGGAAGAAGTGAAAGAGCAACTAGAAAAGAAAAAGAAGGGCTCTAAGGCTTTGGCTGAATTTGAAGAAAAAATGAATGAGGTTTGTAAATAGTACTCTTAAAGAAATAAAGGGCATACGTCTTGAGGTTAAGGGGGCTCTGTTTTTTAGGACTTCTGGCATATTGAGCACAGGTTTATATTTTCATGTGTGCTTTCTTTTTTAAAAAAAAGAATAACTGTCTTGTAATTTAAATCATCTACGTTGTCTAAATGTTGGATTCTTCTCCCTGCATTCCCATTTTACCTTCAGTTTCCATGGTGATGTTTGCTTGTTTTGTGTACAATGTGTGTGTTATGTCAACCATAGTGTAGATTAATTTAGCTTTTACAGCCTAGAAAGAGAATCTTGCTATCTTTGTTACAAGGAAAACAGGCCCCAGCCTCACTAATAGTATCTATTGTACCTCTCAACTATACACTGGAGAATTCCCATCCCTTAGTATATGCTAAAGAAAGAGCTAGTACAGGCTCCTTTGGTGATACAATCAAGGATTAGTACCTACAGCACCTATTTTTGAAAAAAGGTCTTACTATATTGCCTGTCCTGCCCTGGAACTACTGAGCTCAAAGAAGCTTCCTGCCTTCGCCTCCCTAATAACTAGGACTACAGGCATAGATTGCCATGCCCAGTTTGGACTGCCTCTTGCCTGTAATCTGGAGCTGTGATGGGTGAGGGGTATGAAAGGATGAAGGGAAGGAAGTACCGTAGTGGTAGTTTTTCTATATTACATCATTGGAAGGGGGCTGATAGCCTCTAATGGTGTCTATGCCCTTTTTACAGAATTGGAAGAAAGAACTAGAAAAGCACAGGGAGAGATTATTAAGTGGAAATGAGAGCTCATCCAAAAAAAAACAGGTAATACCATTTTTACTGTAACCTCATACTTGAGTTTTTACAATAATGCTGTATACTACTATTACCAGATGCACTTGAAAATTCACATCAACTTTAGATTTGTATTTGTTTCCATTTAGAGAAAGAAGAAAGAAAAGAAGAAATCTGGTAGGGTGAGCAAAAGTTTTCCATTTTTCTAAATGTTACCATTAAGACCCTACAGAAAAAGTAAGAATAATTGATTGAACCTGTATGCTCCAAGCTGTCTTGGTCCCTAAATGCTGGTGTGATGGGTGGTGAGGTTCTCTCAGTGACAGGAAAGAAGGGTGCTAGTCTCCTTGTAAATTGACAAGTCCTGAGTTGCTATTAAAAGAAGACAGCTGATGACCATTGCCACATATGCTGTCATTTGGTTGGGTCTTTTAGGGGGAGATGTATGGCTTTTAAGATTTAATATTTAAAATCTGACAAATGTGGCATCTGTTTCTCAGACACTAGATTGATTTTACTAAGTACTTGAGAGACTTAGTAAAAGAAAACAATTTCCGCATCTCACAAGCTTTAATTGTTTTGTGCTTGGTCAAGTATTCATCTTCTTCTTCATCAAGCTCTGATTCTTCCAGCAGTTCTTCAGATTCTGAAGATGAGGTAAGGTTTGCTTAAAATAATTTGTGAAGTAATATCTCTAACCTACTTAATGTCAAGAGGAAACTACTGTGAAATTTCTCTTAGGAATGTTTATCTGCAGGTTCTGATTAAGAGAACTGGCATGAGTAAATTAAATGATGAGATACTTAAATATCGGTGCATATGTATATTTTAAGTTTTCTAAACTTGTTTATTTAAAAATAGCAGAAGAAAGAGATCTGAAAAATCTAAAATGATGTTGGACTATCTAGTCAGGATTACATGTGATTCAAATCACTTACTTTTTTTTTTTTTTAAATACAACAGGAAAATGGTGTGTTACATTGTATATTACTTTTTTTTTGGTACTCGGGATTGAACTTGGGACCTTGTGCTTGCGAACCAGGCAGCGGAACCACTGAACTAAACCCGCAGTCCCAGTGTGTTACATTAAGTATAGCGATTAAAGCCTGTCCTGGGGCCAGGTATTTAGAGCTCAGTGGCACCACTCCTGCCTGGCAAGCGCAAGGTCCTGAGTTTGGTCCCTGGTACCCCCTCCCCGCAAAAGCCCGGTATCCTGTCCCACACCTATAATTCCAGCACTGTGGAAGGCTGAGACAGGATGATTACAAACTTGAGTGAGACCCTATCTGAAAATAAAAAGAGCTGAGGGTATAGCTCAGTGCAGAATTCCCAGTACCACACACACACACAAAAAAAGAATAGTAACTAAAATCTGGCTCTTTTATTAAATTTTGTTATTAATAAAGTTTTTATCTTAATAAAATGAATAAATTGTTTCTGAAACTGAAAGCATATGTTTCTGAAAATCTTTTATGAAGGAAAAGAAGCAAGCAAAAAGGAGAAAGAAAAAGAAGAACCGTTCACATAAATCTTCTGAAAGCTCCATGTCAGAAACTGAATCAGACAGTAAGGTAAAAAAATTACTTAAATTATTTACATTTTTTGATGGCAGAGACCTGTAAGTTTTCCTTTTAGTTCTTCCTGCCTTAACACTTACCAGTCCACTTATTTAAATACATGATGACCAAAAGTTGCATTATTTTTTCACTAATTTTTATAAGATAGTATAACAAGAAATATAAAAATGACAATTTTATCAAATTATTCTATACAAGAATTGGCTGGTTGAAATGATACCTCCCCAAGTGACACTCAAGATAGCATGTAAACAGATGCTGCCCCAAGTGACGCTTGGGGTACACTGTTAAGTGGTTAAATTGCTGTCACGTCAGAAATGAGATAATGTTTGATTTTGTACTTTGATGTTCTGGGGCACTTAAACTGATGTACTTAATACCTTGCATGTAGCATTTAAGAGTTTTTACTCTCTGAGTACTTTCATATGTATCATATGTCTGTGATAGTGTTTTCCCCATTTTCTTAAAGAAGTTGTAGTTCAGAGAAGAAAATCTCATTTAAATTCATATTGCTAGTGTTAAAATTAAAAGTTGAATCATCATCTGTAAATATCTTGCCCAGTGCCCTTCGTGCTGTACCATCCCTAGGTTTGTTTTGTACTAACATACCCAGAATTCTTACTTGAACTTTCCAGATCGTTTTTTTTGTAAAGGCATGCGGTGTTCAGTAAAAAAGCTGATTCCATGAGCCAGAGGTGTAGCTTGGTGGTAGTGTGCATGCCTCGCATGTGCAAGGCCCTGTGTTCACTCATCTCTACCAGAAAAAAAAAAAAAAGTTGATTCCTGGACTTTCGTCTCCAGAATCTGATTTTTAAAGTCTAATTAGGCTCAGAAGTAGCATATATTTTTAGCAGATGTCATATGTGATTCTGATACAGGGGTGTCCGCGAACTGTAATTTGACAAACACTATACTAAAGTCTCAGGAAACTAAAGCAAAATGTTTAGTTTTTATAGATTTTATCTACTTGCCCCAGTGAACTTTCTTCTGACAAAATGCGTAACACCTAAAAAGTGCTCAAATATTTCTTTTCTCTTTGTCTTTTAACCCTAAGTAGTGGTCTTATAATAACATTCATTGAGTGCCTACTGTGTGTGAAGCATTGTTCTGAGCATTTGACAGCTAACTCATTTAACAACCTATGAAGGAGTTGTTAATCCATTTTGTGCATAAAGAAACTGAGGGTCGAGGAGGATCCTGGCTAGAATTAAGGGATTAAAAGCAGAAATTCTTAGGGCCAGGGATTTAGCTCAGCGGTTTTACCGCCTGTTGCGCAAGCGCAAGGACCTGAGTTCAATCCCCAGTACCAAAAAAAAAAAAAAGCAGAAATTCTTGCCTCCCCACCTAATGAGGAGAGCGGGAGATCAAACTGGTGGATGTGTGAGCACAGTGTGATTCGAGCTCCAGTCCACATGGTCACCGGAGGCAGAGGCCGGCAGTGACGTGAAGTCCTATTTTAAACTTGTGTGTATTCTAAACAGTCTTAGGGGTACAGAGATTTGATAAATGAATAAGTCTATTGACTTACAAGCAAATGCCTACATAATATATTTCTTTTGTATTTTAAGAATAATGTGCTGATAGAGTAAACTTTTTTCACTTACAGAGCATATCAGTTGTTTTAAATTTTTGTCTTTGTTCTATAATGATGTATTCTTTACATTGAAAAGTGATATATATGTGTATATTTGTTTGTTTAGGATAGTTTAAAAAAGAAAAGGAAGTCAAAGGATGCAACTGAGAAAGAAAAGGTAACTATTGTTACATTACCTTAGAATAGTCTGTTATACAACATTTAATTGACTTCAAGAAATTAACTTTAGTATGTACCTGTTTTTAACTTGGAGGTACTTATTTTGCTTTTATGCATTTCATGTTGATGGTAAAGAAATTTTTTTTTTTTTTTTTT